AAAAAAAAAAAAAAAAAAAAAAAAAACCAAATAAATAAAAGAATAAAAAAAGCATCCTTAAACTTAATTATCAAACATTTGTGGTCAAAGTCTATTCAAAATCCACCTGTCCAATAACTACATATTAGATACATAAAGAATTTATTTTATTTCACTTTTCGTTCTGTACTTATCTTTTATGACTTCAAACACTTCTGCTTTTCAAGATTTCACCAACCAACTACCAGAAAAAAAAAGAACAAGCCAAAACCTACAAAAAAAAACTAGAAAAAACATTCCATCCGTCGAAAAATCGTCTGAAGTTCAATCTCAAATAATGCAAACAACTTCTTCCTTCCTTCCTTCTTTCCTCTTCCACCTATCTGTCACCATCCTCCAAATATTTTTAAACTACACTGTGGTAAGACCAAAATACTGATTCGTAAAAAACTGCCCATATGTTGGTAAAAAAAAAAACAAAACCAAAAATGAAGTAAGACTTGATACCAAAATTTGTTATTTAAGTTCAAAAAACTTTGTTTAAAAGGAAAAACATTTTTGCCGCATGATTTAAAAATTACTGATTTTTCAAAAAGAGGCTAACGATTAATATATAAGAACAATTTAATTGAATAAGATTAAATTTCACAATGATGCAAAAAAAGGTTAACTGGCTAACAACTACAAAAATCGTCTAAATAATATTGGCATCTTTTAAGCTCATCAAAACATGTAACAGATTTGCAGTTAATTACAGCACTGTTCCAATTTCCTTTGTGATGCAATGCCGAATCCTTTCGGAGTTACATTACACAACCATTTATAAGCCACTCCAATCGACCGACTCCTTTTTAATAGAAAATCATTTGAAAATCATTGAACTGAATGAAAAAAGATTTCATTATTTTCAAGAACTATTGAAATTTAAACGTCCATTTGGTTTCAGCTCTATGCAGTGCTTTTGAATAACGATATCTTTTCCAAAGCTCGGGAAGCAGAAATCCCTAAACTAACGCCTTAGTCTCCAACCATGCAGTTTGATCTACTGGAACAACGTACCCATCTATATTTAAAACTACT